TTGAACCAACCTCTAGTGAACTGCTTCAAAGCCAGGAAGTCCTGCGAAGATAGCAGTTCTATCCAGCTAAACAAGAAAACTTCATTGAAAAAGCAGAAAAATGAAGATCTGCCTTTCCAAATGTACCTTGAAATCTTTCCAAGCGTCGCATAGCTGCACAATAAATCCATCAGCGCGAGTGTAGGGAAGAACATAACCCAATCCCGTGTGATTTGCATCTCCGGTTATTCCAGTCATATATGCGAATTCCGATCCCAAATCGGTATCTGGGCTGGAAATACAGCTATCTTCAAAAAGAAGCACATGAGGCTGTCACCTTACTCACGTACCCAACAGCCGCGCTAGGACACCGAGGTGGTAAGCATTGGGCAGCGTTCAGACTTCGCGATGAAGCTACAACTGCAGCCGCTCCAATCGTACAGAAGCGAACGCAGCCGCAGACGGGAATCGATCGGCATCGGCCGCTTGTGTATCGAGAGAGTAGGATAGCATGAGGGCAGGCACTGCTTTCACTTAATCTGGGACCCTCTCATTCTTCTACTCTACCAAAAGCGCTAGCGGCCAGTGCCAATCGATATCAGACTGTGTGATTAGGTAACGCATACTCTTATGTTCCCCATACTCAACGCAAAGCGGCCGGTGCCGAACTGATCCCTTCTGCAGCTGCAAGTGAAACGCGTCGAGGCGCTTTACAGCGCGTTAAGGCGCGTCGTTGCACGTTACAGCGCGTCGACGCAGGTCATCGCGAAGTCTGAACGTTGCTTTACAACTGGTCAGGAGAAAGGAGGTAGCATATCTATTCAGGTCATAACAGAAATGTAAAAGAATAAAATACCAGTGGAGAGTATTTGAAGTTAACCAGGGGTATGACGAGTAAACCTCAAAGCAAATCCCTTCTATGAAAAGGGGAGTCTCACAGTGGAACCGGTTCCACTGTGAGACTATAGCACCTGAAGGATGAGAGGGTAAGTTGCAGCCGTGGTGGCGATGGATAGCGAAATCGCCAGTAAATGCCAGTGGGGTGCAGGTTCAACTCCAGCAAAAGATCAACCTTTCGACCATAACTCAATTTCTTTAGAAATAGTCCCGTTCAGCTTTTTCGACTCACCGAAATTCATTAGTGATAAATAATATACAACAAAATCTACGCGTACAAAAAAAAATAACAAATCATTCTGCAACAAGAGCAGATACCTCATACTGTCCAGGAATCCAGTGGGCGTTTTCTCTTCTCCATGATGAGCAGCCCTCACCGACTCGTCGCCATCGGAGGATGCACAAAGCAACTTGTGCAATTCTAACTCAATTTTATCAGTAGATCTTGTTGGAACTTCCACGGATGAAGTCATCGAGGGGGATTTGAAGGCTGTGAACGCCTAGATCAAAAAATAACCCGCCATTAAATGACAGTTCAGGTCAGAATTCTATTTACACACCGAAGTCTCGCTGTGGCTTATTCTTGGCTGTTTGTCCTTCGGAGCAACATAGACCGGTCGATTGATAAGAGGCGGAGGTGCCGCATGGGCAGGTATCGGAATAGGATGAGCTATCGTTGGCACTCCTTTTTCAGCAGCTCTACGAGGCAAGCTGTTCGAGGAACCTGAATGGGGGACCTGCAGTAAGATGTCATCGCCGAGTTGAACAATAACCTCTCACCTGCAAGTACATTCATGACGCTCCTACTCAGCGGACTCTGATCGAGTGGGCGGAAATGACTCGACTGATGTGCATTTTGGACGGCTTCAGAATGATATCGTGGAGATTTCGAGTCAAGCATAGAGTCGTGAGAAGCATATGCGGGTGGCATCCGTAATGATAGGTTAGTAATGTTGGAATGAACTGTTGATAAGGGTTCACCAGGCGACGGAGCTGACACTTGATGAGTTGCCTGAAGCACAATTTCAAAAGACCTTTGCATTCTCACCTGCAAAAAGAATCCTCTCGATGGGCGAGAAGAGCAGGTGCGCAGCTGTCAAAGCCTGCCACCTTCGTCGTACAGAAATACGTAGGAAAGAAGTTGGTGAGCAGAATTGTCTATTCTTTCAGAACTGCACCCGCACATCACGCTACAGACACGCAACACGCAGCGCGACCGGCCATACTCTAGTCAGACCGGACGCACAGTTGCCGCGGTACCTGGCTCAAGCGAGATTCAAGCGAATGTAAGTTCACGCTGCTCAAGTACGCAGCCAGAGAGCTGCAGAGAACAATAACGCCCTAGCCAAACGTGTGAGGACGCAGACAAGTGCTCTGTCGGACTTTGGTGACGTGTAACCGCTCGCGCGACGCTCTTCATGCCTGTGGCGCGCTGTGAGGGCGGTTTTTCGAGAAACTTACAACTATCCATACTCCCCAATTTCGATCAAACACTTTCCCGGAGGGTGGTAGCACGCCTGGACAACTTCGCCCTGTCCATCTAGCATAAGGGAGTTATCCCCCTCTCAGGTGTGCACAGTGTGCGTTTTTGAGCATGAATGAGAAATGTGGATAAACATACCATCAACCGCTTGGAATCGTAGGTAGGTGGTGGTGGTGCTGCTGCTGGCGTATTCGGAAACACTGAAGAGGAAAAGAGGGCATCCATTACAGCTGATATATCCGATGACGGTACATTATGAGAAGCTATAAAATTAACAATTATGTCAGCAATCACTGTGGGTGGCCAATCTCATAAGTATGCTTTGATATGTAAAATAGAACGTTCGGCCTCGGCCTGGACTCAAGCTCAAAACAAACTTCAAGAACGCTCTGCTGATCCATTACACCACCGACGCCCTACTCATCTTCTCTTAGCTTTTTATGTGATGTTCGTTATGTGAAGTGAGCTAATAGCTTGTAAACAGTTATGAACCCGTCAAATTACCAACCTTTATTATGAGATTCTCCGAATGTCGGCATTACATTCTTGGAACGCAGTTTCTGACTCTCGGCAGCCTGGAACTCATTTCTACAATAATTTCACAACGTCTGTATTCATAGTTCGCGACTCGAGTCATTGAGTCGAGCGATTTGGGATTCGCACTACTGTAGCTTCTCGCGCTCCACCGTAATCTTCGGATCATTACAATTG